TTAGGGTCGTATTTCCAGTGCTTGAAATCATACTCAAGTCTGCTCAAATCCTGACTTGAGCATTGAGTAGAGTTCTGGAATACGACCCTTAAAGTCCATTCTTCGGAATAATCATGGTGATAACGCTTACTTCAATTGTGATATATATAGTACAGTCAAAAGCTAATCTCAGTACAGAGTACTAAAAACCGACCTCAAAAGGTCGTGAAATTACATCTATTTGCCAAGTTGTATTGGTATAGATTACCGGGAAATGCGCGAAACCGGATTCATCCCCTAATTTGCCACACTGAGTGGTGGAATATTTTCTTCAAATTTAAATGGGACCACTACTGAGGCACTCTCTTCCCAACAAATAAAGAATCATCAAAATTGGTTCACAGATACCGGAGTTATCGCGTAACATGCGTACAAAAAAAAACATACAGTCGAATTGAGAACCTCCTTTATTGAAGTCAATTAAAAAGAAAACTTAAGTCTATATAGCGCGCAAAACCGACGAACCGTGTACCGGCTCAATAATCCCGTGATTATTTTAACCAATGACGAGCTCAGTGCCTATACATACTAGAAAGTAGCACATTCTGATTACAGTTATGTAATTAGAAAAATTAATCCTCTTTCGGTTTGGACCACTCACAATTCTTAGTAGCTAAGATAATAAATTTGTTATCTACTAAAAAAAGTCCTAGCGATAGAAACAAGTTATGTTTTTGTTCTTAATTTACTAACCTTTACTTTACAATTTTCTATTGTTTAATTTGATCAGGTCGGGCGGAAGCACTAGGCACACTCTGCAGAGTATTGTGCTCAAAGCAATGTCGGGAGGAAGTACTAGCTCCATACTTAGCTCGATGCTACGCGGCCATACATCGCGGGCTACGAGACCCGGCCACTGCCGGCGCTGTCGTATTAAATGCTGCTGACATTTTCAGGTAATTCTAAACGTAAATCATCCCTGATGGAAAGCTTTCTTACAACTGTAGCTCTTGGGGCACTTACATACTTCTCATAAAATGTTTATTGAGCTCCCGCTTAAAAACTGTTGTACAGTGCCATTTTCAAAGTCCAAGCTTTGGAAATGATTGAATTTTACTAAAGTTGACAATTGCATTTTAACTTGTTCATTCAAAGTTATTATTTGATATTTATGAATTTCCGCTCGTCCATTCGCATTCAAAAATTAAAAGCAGGTAACTCGTACAGAGACATTCTATATTTGATGTATCGGATGTTCTTCATAAAAACATGCACTTATGGATATTTTTTGAATAATATCAAGTCACGGGACGAACAAGTCGTGCGCCTGATGGCAAGCTACACGCCTGTCCATAACAGTTGCAGTGCCACTCAGAGCCTTAACTCGCAAAGATGGGTACTGCCATTGCGCCAGTCACCCTGAGACATAAGTTGACAAGTCCCATGTGCCTGTAATTTGACCAGCACCGGAACCGGAACACAGTAATGCTGACATTACTGCTTGACGGCAAAAAAAAGGCAACGTGGCAGTACCTTGCTGGACGAACTCTTGTACAAGGAGCTCTACTGCTACTCATCCTAACATATCTTGACATCGTTACTTTGACAACCTTTCGACTTTCTTGGTTTTCATTGTGTTGACATCTCTGAGGTCCCGGGGTCGGTTAAATAATTGTTTTCAATAACTTCATTGTGTCTGTGTCTTTTTAAGAATGAAACGCTTATAGTAGTTTTCTTGTTTCCTTCTTCCAGGCTAGATCTAGACGGCGTATTAGTTCTAGTACCAGATTTCATAACGGCCCTGGATCGTATTCTATCAGAAAGGGAGCCAAAACTAGAATGCGGGTCCATAGACAAACGAGAACTTCGTAAAGCCGCCATTAGCGCTCTATTATCCTTGGTCGCGTTCCCTCATCATTATAAAGAATTGCCTGTTCCTGAATTCCCTGGATGTAATGAATAGTAAGTTTATTGATCATATATTATATCATCTGAAATATTATAAATGCGAACACTTTGCTGTTCAATTATGTCATAAGGAATTAAATAAACGACGATGATCAGATAGTTCAAAAGACGTTTACAATGCTTCAAAGAATTGTTCCTACTGGGCTAAATACTGTGACCATTGCAAGGTCTGACCTTGCCTGCATCCCCAAAAACAATGTGCCAGACGGCCGAGGCGTGCCTGATCGGTCAGGGCGAGCAAGCGAAGAAGACAACCCTTCCGGCTTAATTCGCGCGCTGTGGTGGGCGGGAAGTGCCCGCGGCGCTTTAATTAGGCCGGTACGGTGTGGGAGATACCGATACAATAGTAGGAATCGTGCTGGATTCTAAAAAGAATAAATTTTAATTTTAAGACATTCGACGAACATTTTAAGACAATCAAGATTTAAGGATTCGGTCAAGCAATATTCGATCAGTGAATTATTCTTAAGTTTCAAAGTAAGTGTATACAGTCCACTTACAATCGAATTCAAGAAAAACAGAAGTTTTATTGAAGGACCCAACAAAAAGTAATTTTTAGGAAATTGACAATATAGATATTTAAAAAATCCGAGTTACGTGGCACTAAGTGTATATGTATAAATAATCATACCATGCATATCGACCCCTCCTATATATATATATAAACTTGGCTATTTCCACATATATATATATGTATGTGGAAATAGCCAAGTTTACAGGGGAGCGTTTTAAAGTTTTGAATTCACTGAAATGAGCATAACACGTGACTTTAGCATTTCTCAGTTTTAAAAGCTCGTTACTCACATAGAGTATTATAAAATCCTAGATATCAGTTAGATGAACAACCACAATTTATTTTATAATTTTATACTGACGCGGATATGTGTCAACAAACGGGTAAACTAAAATGAGACTGGGCGAGTCGGGTGACAATAAAAATTTTACTAGTTAATGACTTGAATGAAATTTTAAATTAAAGTACAAGTAACGCTACAGTTATACTCAATGTCATCTGTTGTCACGCATATTTGTCAAAGTTCGGAAAGTAATTTTAGCTCATGATCAATGTTTAAATAATATTATAAGGAAAAAAACTTATTATTTATATTTCACATTAAATAGGAATTATTTAATGTCCAAGGCCATTAACATCATATAAACTGCTTCAAGCTATTGATCAGCGCAATCTATAGGAATTTTGACCTTTTTCAGAGTTACGGATCTGTAGTATGGAGATTAGCAGTTCTCATGAGATATTGTTTGTCCATGGTTGTTTTGCGAAAATATTACTTTTAGAATTCCGTCACTTTATTATTAAGAATACGACATAGGAGCTAACACAGTTTTATCTTTTAGTGCGGGCATGACCCTCGGTGACTTTGCAAGAGGTAAAATATCCCTTATATGCGTGTCAGCAGTACAAGTGGAATGTTCCGATGCGTTGGCCGTGCCGCTACTGAGTGCCTTATACTTGTGTGTGAGACATAACGCTCACGTGAATCATGGGAAAGCTATGAGCGCTCCACCTGGATCTACTATGTCACATAGTACAGATTATAAAGGTACTTTTTTAAATTTGTTAACAAAAAAAAAGACTGACACTGTTGATTATCCGTAAAGATAAAGTGGAAGAAGCTGGCAAACTACGGTAAAGTGCAGGCTTATGAGAGCTTAAATACATAAGTTTACAAAACTGTACAGAAGTTTAACGTCGATTTATTTATTAAAACCTAATAATAAACAACATTAAAATACTATCTCTGAGAATCATAAGGGTAACACATAGTTATAACTACTAAATGTGTAACATGCTATGCTGTGCTGTAGGTACGTATTGTAATTTTGCTTGACAACAAATATACCATAATTATCACAGCGACACATTTTGTTATGCAATCTCACGCATAACTTTTATTTGCATTTTACCGTTCATCACGCAATTTTCACATTTTACACTAATTTTGTTAACACTACATTTTTTAATAATAATAATACACTTACTGTTATACTTTTTTGTGTATAAGTAAAAACACATTAATGTAAACAGGTAATATTTCTGTAAGACTAAATAATATCTAAATTCCCTCCCTAAGCCTAACGCCACAAAGCTGTGATCTCTGGTTAGAAGAAATTCGTAGGTGCCAAAATCACAAAATTTAATAAAGTCCTTAACTTTCATTTCCATTGTATATAATTTGATTTTCATGAAAACTATCAAGTTCTGAAATGTAAGGGACTATCTTAGCTATGCAATACATGCACACACAATAAGAAAATATGACCTTTACGATCTCCTTGTATAAGATTCTTAGCATCTACGAAACTGGTGGAATATTGTAAACCCGACGTTTATGATGAATACTTGTATTTTTTCAAAGCGATAATAGTGAGTAGACATTTCTATACAAACATGCTCACTTACCTCATGCATGATTGTGGTTGCCTTATTTTGTTTTGTAAATATTCCAATGGGTGGAAGTGCTGAATCCTACCCCAATATAGATATAGGCTCGGAGTGTTATTTAGTCTTATGTTATAGCACGATCGGATAGCGGCAGCGCCACGGGCAGCGTGGACCAATCGTCGCTAGAGGATTTTGCCGCCGACGTTAGGGAGCTAGACCCTTCATCGCCTATTTTCGGTAACACCCTTTTTGTTGCTTTTCGAAAGATGTGCTTGATTGCAAAACTATCATGGAGCCGCCATATATACTGTGGTAACTTAAAGGTAATACACTCCAAGGCGGATGACATCGTACTAAATGTTCTCACCCATTTGACCAAAATATAAATTAAACAAAATATTGATATATACGTAATCAATACCATATTGTAACATATTTTGCATAACAAGCTGCATCTTATTTATTTTTATTACTTTTGCTTTCATTTTATTCAAGCCGCAGCTTGGCAAATGCTATCACATTTTTACTGTTTATTTTTAATATATTGTAGTGTTGGTATTCGCGTCGACCTAGGCATAATATGTCGTTTCTATTAAAAATATGGGTTTTTTAGGTGCAGCGTTAGTAGTACGAGCCACGTATCTCGTGTGCCACCGGCTTATATCATCGTGGAAAGGCGATCTCCAAGTATCACTGGCGGCCTTAGAACTACTTTCTGGACTTGCCAAACTACATTCCGCTAAACCCGGTAACTATTACTGTCATCGTAATTCAAATAAGTAAATTTCTTTCATTAAGGTCCAAAAACACATTCTGGGTGAAACGGAACGACTGAAAAAGCCGGAAACCATGAAGAGTCTTATATTTGTCATCTGAAAATACTGAAAAGTCCTGTAGTTTCCAAGTTGTTCAATGACAAAGATTTGGTGATGTCAACCCTAGTTAACCGCATTTTTTTCTTTTAATAGATCATTGACCTGAGTCGATGATCAGCAAATAATACAGAGTTTCTTTAGTGCGGGACTATTAGTGTCTTCGTTGTTATTATTATTAATTTATTAACGAGAAATTAATACCCAAAATTCCGTTTTTGACGATACAATACTTACATTTACCAAAAAGTAGATTTGTAATTACATCATTACTTTTTTACATGCGGACTAGAGTTCGTTATCGGTAAGTTATATGTGTTATATATACAGTGCAAATTGAAATTTCTTTTATGTTAAATGTCACAACGTTTTTCAGTTAACTGGAATAACAAATAAATTCCGAAACCAGAACATAAGTTAATGCTCACGAAGTTGTTATTGTAAAAAATAATGTGGTTTTTATGATTTAAGGTGATTTTTACTCAAAAGAACACAAAACCACTTAGCGAGAAATACAAAGTATCATAAAACTTATATAATCTCTCATTCAAATCTGTAGTTTATGAACTGCAACGGAACATCCACAAAAATAAAAAGATTTGGGCAATACAGCATTAACATTTTCGTATTACAGAGGCGATAGAACGTAAACGCGCGGTCCGTTGGATATGTGATTACATCACGGTGCAATGCAGTCGACCACCGCAAGCGCACTCCCGCGACCTCCACTCCTGTGTAGTGGCCGCATACTCCTGCTTGGCGTCGTGGCTTTGCCCGGCGTTACTGGCCGACCCAGATTGTTTGGCCACCCTTATGGAAGTCGTTGAATTGGGGATATCTGGCAGTAAGAGTCTAGGTGTGTACTAAAGAATAGTGTTAATCAAACTAACATCGCTCACCTGGAAATTCCTAGGACCGACAACGTATTTGCTATATGAAATAATAATAATAATAAAACCGATTATTTATCTCAACACATTATTAAGTAAAAATAAATATAAGCTCTATATAGTGTTTAGTAAAAATAGTGGTGTGAGATAAAAAGGTCTAAAGCTCACACAGCACAGTGGCGGAGTGTTTCACAACGCCGCTGATATTCTGCTACAACCAGCCATGTTCATAAAAAGAAGAAGAACTACCACACATTATCATTCTAATTCTAAGGTTTCAAACCGATCATTAAATACTTACCACACACATGAATCGTTATGTAGTTTTTACCACTTCCTATCTCATGGACAGTCTGCTTGCCGGTTTGTATTCCTTAAAATTACCTATCTTAAATTAAAGAAATTCAGATAATGCACAGTTTAAAAAACTAGAGGAATTGATACAAAGATACTGTACGTGCTATTTAACAAGATAAAACTAACTTTTAAGGTAACAAACAATATTTGCTAGAGTAATTTGTATCAATAATAATAATATTGAGCGAATAGAGTATATTACACAAAAAAATATGTGAATGTAATGATCAGGGATCGGAGTAGGTTGAGTTTTTTTACCTAAACTTCGAGGAACATGGAAAATGGAAAATGGAAACTGCCTTACGACAATATTTTTTAGGTCCCAGGACGTTTTCAGGATTGGGGAAATCACTTAAGAACATTCAAACATTGACGTAATGGGGGACAGGCAGGTACACTATATTTATCTTAACTTTGCAACGCACATTGGGTCGGATCTGCAATATTGCGGACATTGGATTTTTTTTTCACTATACCTCTCTTAAAAAATGCCAATCGAGAGATCCTATTATCCTGATTAAATATTGTCATATCACATTTCGCCGTAAATAAAATAGTTTAGTAGAAAAGAAAATATGTATTTTTTGTATCGGACCATACCTTTAATGCCCCATCGTTACAAAGTCGTAGTCGATCCTGTCTTGGAATCACTACCGACGTATTGTATTAGACCTATCCTCTATAGATTTGCACACTAAACGCGCGCCCAAAACATTTTCTAACGTACATTGAACACGTACAACAATGGGGCACTAAATTTGTGGTCCCATACAAAAAATACACATTTTATTTTTTCCTACTAAACTATTCTATTTATGGCACAATGTGACATCACAATATTTAATTAGGATAATAGGATCCCTCTCGATTGGCATTTTTTAGAGAGGTATCGTAAAAATCCAATGTCCGCAATATTACAGATCCGACACACGACGTTTTATTGCAACACCAATTTTTCCGAATATTTAGGAAAATTTTGTCAAATAATTCTAACTTAATACATGTAATTAGAATGATTATAGCTTTAGGATCCCGAAGGAATGTCCATAAATCAACAGTATGTACGTTTGAAATACACATCTTAACGTCAATTTTTAATGTTCTTAAGTGATTTCCCTAATCCCGAAAAGGTTCTGGGACCTTAAAAATATTGTCGTAAGGCAAGCTCCATTTTCTGTTTATGTTCCTCGAAATTTAGGTAAAAAAACTCTACCTATTCCGATCCCTGGTAATGATAGTAAAACATACTATTTCATAAAATAAATATTGAGACTAAAGGAATGTAAAAATTCCCTTGCTCGCATCATGCGCTCTATTTTTCAAGTGTTCATAAACTTTTACAGGCAAACCCGGAGAACCGCAAAAAATGAAGGATGAAAAAGAATTAAAACCTGTTTCCATGCGAGTTCGCGATGCAGCTGAATCTCTGCTCATGCTCATATTGGAACAAGTAAATGAAACGACTGCCTTAATTAATCAAATGAGATATGGCTTAACAAATGTCAATATTTTAAATATAGAATAAAGTAATTGAGAATTGTCACGCGTATTTCTCATGGCAATTTAACAATGAATCCGAGTGCGTTCATTTATCAAACAACGTAAAACTGAACTTCGATTATGTCAGAAGCGCCGTCAAGGTTAACGAAAATTATTTAATTCTGACTTAACCTTGTTATCTCTTGATCAGGTTGGTAACAGTTCCAACGGCTCGGCGTGGTGTCGGCTTGACGAACGATGGCTGTCAGCATTGGGCCACGGCAGACTGAGACACTTCATTGCCGATGGAAATATCCTGCTATCTCTCCTTGAGGAGCCACTGGCCAATAGTCAGGAGCCACAACCCACGCTTATCGGTTTGTTTTTAACTATTTGTTATGTAAAAATCGCACATAATAATGTGGCTTAATGTACCAAATGTACTAAGTTTTATAGAGTAATCTAAATTTATTTAAAAAAAATATTCTCCGTAGTATCATAAATACTAAAAATATACACCCAGCAGAATGGAAGCAACTGTGAATGAAACATAAACTCTACTACGATCGCTGACTCAACTGCCTTTTTTAACCAACTTCAAAAAAAGGAGAAGTTCTCCATTAGACTATTGTTTTTATAAAAAAAAATTGTTTCCACCATATCAAAGATTTATTACATCAAATATATCTGTAAACGTCGTGCTATAACTCGACACCTCCTACGTAGTGTATCGTAAATCACAATAATAGATGTTTACGTTTATTTCATAAACCACTTTATGTAAGTGCCCTGACCATTAAAAAATAAAGCACGAAAAATAATGATTATACATCAAAATTTATTGCAGTGCATCGATAATCTCGTATGTTCTCTGCGAGAAGAGGCCTGTATCTAGCATTGTTATTGTGGTACTTTACCTTTGCCATTAGCTTATAGTCACATTCGCCGCTAGCGACCGCGTAAAATATGTATAGGTATGTAAAATGATACTACTTGTGACCCCTAGAGAGCGATGTACAATTGGCCATTTAAAATTGTAACGTACTTTACGCGGTCACTAGAGACAACTGTCACAGTAATCTCATGGTAGAGGTATCGAAAATACGTGTATAGTATTTTGTGTGATTGACCAATATGTGATTCGTTCGCTATTATATATTCGCTAAGCCATTAACTCTGAAGTGTGTGATAGTTGATGTGATTCGTGACAGTGATAATCCGCTGCGGGTGGGGCCGATACGCGTGGTCGCTGAGCAGCCGCGGCGCAGCGCGCTGCGCGACTCGCGGCAACGGCGCAGCCTGCGCAAGGCCCATCGATATGCTCGAACCACCTCCCAAAGTCACGCCGCAGTGTTTGCCGCTGCCTAATCCGCCACCTTGCGCTGTGTAAGTAAACTCAACTCAATCTTTATTTCACAAGTGACTTACTAAAGCTCCAAAAAGTAAGTTAAAAATGAACTTATTCGTAATGTAAATATTATTGCGTTATTTACTCAGCTACTGAACATTTTATTACAAATAAGAAAACGGAAACAATCGAATTAAATATTGAAAGTTCCTAAAAATCTTATTAACGTAATACTACCAACTCAATTTATGTTTCACCGAAGTCATTTGTTTCTTGTAAATTGTCTATTATAAATTTAAAAATGACCTTATACATTTCATAAAAGAGTTGTGCTAAGTATGTTTACTGGTACAAAAATTATATGGAAAATTTAACCAGGCTATCAGCTGGTTTTTTTGTAATGTTCTCAAAATCTAGAAATTCTGAACTAAAAACAATATTTTTTTATCTGCGTTTTCCATTTTTTATATTTATATTTAACGTAAAACGGAACGGATTTTTATGTAATTTTTTGTCTAATTGGCTAGTGGCCAATACCATATAAAATATATTGACAGATCAGATGTCAATGTCATTCAATGGCAAATTTCCTTAGAGGATGGAAAAAAATAAAAGAAATACAGTATGGCCTAAGGTGTTATTAGGATTTCTTTTAATTAAAACATCTAAGAAAGCTAAAGTACCACAATTCTCTTGTTCCATCTCTAATAATCGCAGTCTGCGAGCATGTCATGGATAAACCTACACATTCAATGAAGTTTGACAAACCCCAGGTCCTTGCAAAAGAAGTCCGTTATCTGCCCAGGATGCTGCGAGAGGCCATTGAAATTAAAAAACATCCTAATTTCAACAGGGAAGATGGTTTCTCCGTACCACCAGTTTGGGATCCAGTATTTCCTCTAATGAAAAATCCCAAACAGACATAAGACTGCAGTACTAATTAATATGTTTTAGTTTATTCTAATTTCTATTAATAATTAATAATAAATTAAACTTAATAAAAATTCATTCAATAAAATAATTTGTAAAACTTAATGTAGCGTAAATTGGAATGTTTTCTTTGTAAAATTAAAAATAAGGTATTTAATTAACAACTATTGTAACTATAGTGAAAAAATAGGGTGGTTTGCATTAATATTAGACATAACTGGTTGAAGACTGTACCACCTCAGTCAACCGTGACCATGGGACCTGTAAAGGGCCCGAAACGTCGGTTTGTTTGAAAAAACAAATATACGCGATTTAAATCCGGAAAAAGAGTTTCATTTCCTATGTGTAACAATCGCGAAAACCTAAGAACTCAATATTTAAATATGAGTACAAGAAGAAAAACGATACGATGCGAATGGAGAGAGGCGATACAAAAAGGTGGGATGACGGTGTAAGGAGGTCACACCGTCACAAACGTATAGTTTACCCGAATTTGCTGACGGTATGAGGTTAAAATAAGGGCCCATATATAGTTCACGTGTCAAGAGAGGAGTCCAACCCTCAACTCAGTTCCTAAGTAAGAATGGTACGAAAGATGTATCAAAGCTACATGGCGCAATCGGGTTGTAGTTACTTTTGTTAGTGCAATATCTACCAACAAATTCATTGAAAATTCTCTCCTGACCAAGAATTCTTACAAAGCAATCATCTCCGCATTTCACTGGATAAGAAATGATATTGGTAGAAACATTCCGATAGAGTGGACTATGGAAGAACTGGTCATCGATTGCCCTAATGGCTCCCAAGCCATTAAGGCCAGACGTCTACACAGGAAAGAATGCATAAATAACAGACCACATTGGATTCCCTCCCAAACCGTAATGGTCTTTTCCTTGGCAAAGAGCTCCCTGAAAGTGTCTTATGTTATCATACATCCTTTCTTCTAGAGATCCATACTCTACCAACCATACAATCCAACAACCGCTGTCGCTTTGGTCATGCGAAAGCCCAATGCCGTTTAAAGCCCAGGTGTTTCAGATGTAGTCAACCACATGCTGGAGATTCTTGTGGTAGTTCCCAACCAACATGCTTATATTGTTATGTCAACGGAAAGCATCCCATACTCAGAGGCTTCCCTTAGATTCTGGACCACCACAATAACCTTGTTATGACTCCGCAGTCCACACAACCTAATGGCTGTGCTATTAATTCAGAATTATCATACAATAGCTCCAGAAACGAAAATCTTATTGTTATTACTTATCAATATTATTTCTAAATTTAATGATTTCTTACTGACCAATGTCATTCAATCATTGAATAAATGAAACTCTCTAATCCATGTTAACAATGACCCCAATCCTACAATGGAACTGTAAATCCACACATCATAAATCAACTAAACTAAATAATACATGAACTAATTGAATTAATATATGACTATAAGCCCACCATCCTGGGTATTTCGGAAACATGGCTAAAGCCATCTTCCCCTTTAAGGATTCCTGATTTCTCATATCTCAGGGATGGTAACAACAATGGATATGATGGCTGTGCTCTAATTATTAAGCGACCTATTGTTTATTCTTTATTACACCTTTCTTCACACTCCCCTAATTTTAATGTCGTATCAGCTAGAACTTTAAAGATAACATTTGTTTCAGTATACATCCCCCATCCTGATCACTCATTTTCACTGAACTAGATGCCATCCTTGCTATTCTCCCATCTCCTCTTGTTGTGCATGGTGATTTTAATTGTCATTACACAATGTGGGGCTCCACTGTGGTTCAGCTTGTATGGAGAAAGTGTCAAAATGTTATTTTTCCAAAAGTATTGGACATATTTGTAAAAAAAAAATATTATTTATTTTTAGTAGGTGTAATAAAAAGCTGGGAAAAATATGATTTAACAATATATATTTAATCTTAAAAAATGTAACAAAATAATTACATTTTTTCCATGTACAATAATGGAAATGGGCATATGTTTAGCAGTGGATGCGAATAAACTGATATGATGATGAACATGAATAATAACTATATGAAAATATGTACACTTTTTACAAAAATATATTTACAAAGTTGTGTCTAAACGTGCGATTCGTTCGCCACAAAATATCATCTTAAAAATACATAAATTAAACTATCCAACGCTTAAAGTCTAACTTACTCTAGAAATCTAATAAGCTAATGACCAATTTGGATAAAACAGAGTTTTTTCCTTGGCAAGTTCCTAAGGCCCGTAATTAGTGGGTCTGAATTTAACATGAGACGATTTATAAGGTCGGTATTCGTAGCGACCCGTGACATTTTGCGGGTATTGTTCAACCTAAATGTCTTTATATTTTTGTTAGACTCGGCAGCTTCTTCTGAAAGTTCTCCAATCGATACCATTAAGTGGTTTATAACTGCAGACCCATGAATTAAAATTTTGTGTACAGATGCTGGCAGATTATACCAAGAATACTCCTTAACAAGCTGCCAAGCAGTCTCTAAAACAAAATATTTAAATCTCTCCGAGTTGATGTTTATCCCGAATTAAGGCAGTTGAGAATAGTGCCACACCTATCAATGAGTTCCTTCTTAAGACCAGTAATCTCAGCTGAGAAAGCAGAATTGTCGAAAAATTTTCGTGCAGTATTGCCATCGTTTGATGTACCACTTCCACTATTACGTGGTTTATCAACAATCAAAGCTAATTTTGTTTTGAATTCATTCTGAATGATCGTCATTCTTTTAGCTACTACTTGTTTCGCGTCACTAGATCGCACTTGCCATTTTTTACATCTAATCGGTATGATAAACGTACAAAGTATTCGAAGAATCTAATCCATGAAAGAGGAGACAGACCGAAATCTAATTTGGTGGTATCAATTTCTTTGTTAAGACAAAAATCGATTGAATTCATTTCCTTGGGCGTCGCTTTGCACAAATAGCACTTACTAGCAGATGGCATCAACCATTGTCAACTGGAATGATGCACTGCTATTTCTCCGTTCTCAGTGTCATACAGTGTGGGGACTAAGTTATCAATTTTCTCTTTAAAATAGCTTTCGTATAGGACGACAGTACTTAGTGGACGACGGGCGGGGCTTTTTCCATAATATGATCTCTTCGTTAGTTGTGGCCACTACGGAAATAAGTCGCAAAGCGTATATGAAGTTACAAATAAACTTCCATCTTCCAATTCGGGTTCCTCAGAAAAACATTGTTTATATTCACTGTGTCCTGTACTGCCGTGAAATCCCCACTTTCCTATTAAAGTAACGTCCCCCAAAGTGGCGTAATGAATATTATTTAGAACGTCTTTTTGTGAGTCAAGTATTCTTGTAGCCGTGTGATTTAATAAACTCTGCAACTCCACTTACTGTTTCATTTTCTGGGTGGCACCGCTTTTTTGCTTCTAGAAATTCTGCCAATCTTGCCAATCCTGCCAATCTTGATAAATATACCGTGTATGTTTCAACCCGGACACTGGCAGAATTGTCCTCAGTGGGACAGAAGCCAAATACACCCAAATATATATATATATATATATAATATATATATATTTATGTATAATATTCTTAGAAAACTGACACTGGCCCAAGCCTAGTGGCTGCCATAAAGGATATAATAATAACCAATTTTAATTACGTTTTTGAATATAGCGTTTAAGTGTTGCTGCTTTTTGGATTTTTTTTACTATCGCTGTGTTGCTGGTAATTGTTAAACATGTTTCGCGGTGTACGGATAAACCTTTTCAGGTTTTTGTTGTACCGCTATGTTTTAATTTATAAGTTTTCTTTTTGTAAAAATTTTAATAAATAAAAATAAAAAATAGATGGCCACCATACTTTTGTTTTAAATCGATTTAAAAAAATGTAGGTCACAATTTTCTATTTTATTACTTTAGTTTTAATTCAGTTTTAAAATTGAATTTAAAACAACACGTAAATATTTTAAAAACACAGCCGTAAAAAACTAAACCATGCTTCCCTAATTATTTTTTTTCGAAATGGCGCTTTGCATGACTGTCGCTCTGATATTGGTGCCACGCTAATAAATATATTATATCCTTTTTACAGAGATTCTGCGTTCCCAGGCCTGGAAGCAGTTTTACGACAACTAAACGATCCCGAAGCGCCAACTCTCTTCAAACTGTTAGAACAACAAGCTGCGATAGAGAAACGCGTGAGAGAAAGTGAAAACCATATTGTGCCTGAAGAATATATGCCTCCGGAACCCGTCACTGAGTTCCAGACTGCAAGATTGTTTTTGTCGCATTTCGGCTATTTGAATATCGGAGGAGACAAAAAGGTAGCCTACTGTCATTTGCTTTAAACCACGAGAGTTCGTGATTTGACCAATTAATCGCCGTCAAAAGGAATTTTTATCTTATTGCGGTGAAACTATTGGCCACTTTCGTATCACTAACACCACCTAGCGTTTCTGTAAAAACATTGCAATTTGTGGCAGTGTCCAGTAGATGTCAGCTTTATTGCCAGGTTAAGGCACTGTAAATGCTTTCGTTGGTCAACGACATTTCTTCCTAAACATTTCAATTGAAGTCCAACTCATTTATGATGAGGTTTTAGTGTTGCATGTCGCCACGGCTAAATTTTTTACCAAAATCCATAATCTATATAAATAAATAAATAAGTGTCCTCTCATTCCTTGTGTGGGATTTCAGACGCATCCGTACACGTACTTCGTCTGTCAATCTTAAAATGCCCCATTCGACCGTCTGTACAAGAGGAGGCCTTCAGTTTTATTTAGTTACTGCTTTAAGGTACCCTTATTTTCAGGCCGTTATGACAATGTACAATGAATGTAAATTAGCAATAAACATTGCTTAAACTCACCAACTACTCCTAGCCAACGTTCATTTGACACCTGAACTGACGTGCTAATTTTATGCTCCTGGGCATTATAAAAGACGTTAATGCTAATATTGCTAATGTTACTTGTGAATATGGCAGGGCGGCCCGCCACGCCTCGTGGCGCTGGACGACGCCCAGCCCGGGTTTGCGGCGGCGCTTCGGCGCGTGGACGCGTGCGGCAGCCGCACGGCCGTCACCGCGCACGTGTTCTGCGCACGCGCAGGACAGACCAGCGCGGCGGACATCGTCGCCAACGCGCACAGCTGCGACACTGTATCGCCCGGCTTTATACGCATGTTGAGAGGGTACGGATTTCTTTTTTCTTTTACTGTATGTCGCGACGTCCTACTATCTATCGCGCACGTGATTGCACATCGCCTATATGTTCTGGACTTTACTCCTTTTCTTTGCTGTGTACATGTGTGATCTTCCTGTCTATCTTTGTAATGTGTAAAATATCTTCACTTCATGATAATCATCACCTGATTGCAGCAGAATCCTAATATATACTGCCAATGTTAACAAATTTGCTACCATGAACCTCGAAAATACAACGGCAAATGATTTTATCTTTTTCACAAACGCAAAAAATTCAGGTTTTTTTTTCCATTTTGTTTACAGGCTAGGTGCGCCAGTCCGCGTTCGCAGTCACCCCGGATGGACGGGACACGTGGACACGAGCTACGATGCCCATCCGGATTGTGGCCATGCCATCGCCCCGCCACCAGTGAGCGGTGAAAAAGCACCCGCTTTATATGATGGGAGGGATCAGGTATAACATTGAGACTTATTTGTTTTGGTTCCAACATCGATATAATACAGATGTATATTCCAAATGGTAAAATAAAAAATATATGTAATCTTAAAGTACAAATTGCTCTTGAAAAATACAAAAAATCAATGAAGCTTGCGGATAATAATTAAATAAATTGTACACAAATCTTTTTATATTTAATTGAAGAAAAGATAAAAGATACAATTTTGTTTTTCACTTAAACATACTTTACTCTCTGAAGCCTGTATTATAATAATGTATAACAATGTCACATGAACAATGTACACGTGTGTGTGTTACAACATGTTATATTTTGCAGGTACTATATTGGTCAGATTCTACAAACGAGATAGCCTTCGTAGTACCTTCAGGGTTCGAAACATCAGAAACGGAGGATCGACAGAACGATAGCATCAAATCCGACGTGGACGGATCTTGTGTATCCACTAGGTAACTTAGTACAGATTAATAAATTAGCTACTAACAGTTCACATCTTAATCTGAAAATAAAAAATGCAAGAATATCGTGGTAATAAAAAAAATCATGATATCCAATAACATTGCAATTAATAAAGCGACATCTCCAGTCAGCCGCTGGTAACTGTAAAGATATCTGAAAAAAATTTTCGTAGATTTGTCACAGATAGAGAGAGGGAGAAAAAGTAGTTAAAAAAACTAAGATCTGCAACAGGCTCTTGGAGAAATTCGCAAGGTCTGCTGACTTGTTCTATAAGTCAGTTGGGAGAGCGATAGCCCCGATTTAAATGCAGCCGGATTGAATGAATTTGTCTTTGTGTTGGTCGAGCAAACATTCTTTGTATCAATAATAACAACTCTAAAGAATATCTCTTTCATATATAAGTATTAAAAACAAGACTTGTAACAGAAGAAAACAATAAAATTGGAATAAAAAATAACTTTAAAATTATTTCATTCTCTATCTACCAGGGGATCAGAAAAAGCAGCAGGCTCATGCTGGGACGTATCCAGCAATAGCTCTGGGACGACGTCTTACGAACGCAGCATCAGTGAGTCTGACAAAGGTGACCGCGGACGGTCCAGCCTCAATGAAAAAGTTCGCGCTTTATCGCTTGAACTCGACAAGCATTCTACTGCAGGACTTACAGGTCTGTGCTGAATTCTACAAGAAACCGGATATTACTATAAAGTTTAAATTTGAAGTTCTTTAAAAAAATTGAACACTGAGAGTACAGTGCATGGTACTTGGCTCCATCTGTTAGGAGAATTGGAGTATTGCATTAAGCGCATGACAATATTATTTTCACCTCACTAGCTCGGAAAGGCTTTCTTTCTAATGAGAAATTTGCGCTCAAAAACGTTATTTGCACGCTAGCGTGGAAAAGGTTTTTGAAATTCGAACTTGACGATGGACTGTGGTGCATTCAAGTTTTTCTTTCGATGGAAAAATAAATAAAGACACGTTCAACTACGCTATTTGTCACACATTACTTATTTGTGTAGTATAAATCCGTTAGTATACTTTATTCTTATTATTGTTGACATTAAATTGACGACTGTAACCATTGACTTACAAATAAACGGACGGGTCTAATACAAAAACCACGAAAAAAATGTCCCAAGTCAACCTATTTAAACGTAGTGACATGTAAAGGAATATGAAAAAGCTAAAACGTTGAATTTAAATTGTAATATCATTGCAGTACAGCCTAATTTTGCTTGCAACAATTGACAAACAAAAAAAAAGGCGCAAAAAACACCATATTCAGCTTCTACTGGAAACTTACCAAAATGCACCATATGTAGCTTCTAGTGAAAACTACTTGAACACAGGTATAATGGAGTAGCCTTTATTATTTATAAATAAATTTTATACGTAAATGTTGAATTTTATACAATGCCATTTATTACGAGCTAGGGTGACTGACTTTTTTTTCTTGACTTTCGAGAATTCTCGTACCCGATTTCTCGAGTTATTCGAGAATTATTTTTTTTTAATAAACCGTAAAAATCAGCTCAATCAACTATAAAACTAAATGTGAACTTTTAGAAAGTTGTTTTGGCCTGGGTGTTCTGAGTTATGCCCCCGGAATAAATTCCATCGTTTGTGGTTCCAGGTTCGATTCCCAGTAGAACCAATTTGGGAAATGAACTTTTGTAAATTGGTTCTGCTCTGGGATTCGGTTGCTTTGATACTCATGGGGAGTATACAGAGAGTTCCCTAGTTTCAGACCAGGTGATTGTCTTACAATAGAATACCAAGACCAGAACCATTTAGAAAAGTTAGTTTGTTAAATTGATCCTACCGGCATCGAACCCGGGAACTTCTCATCCAGTGCCCACAGTGCAAACCGTTAGGCTATCAAGGTTGTACTATTTGTATTATTATGCATTGTTTGTATGTGAAAGCTACAAATTGCTTAAACTTTAAAAAAAATCCTATTTAATTTGCACTGTCAGTCTGCTTCAATTACCTTCTTTGTTTCTTAAGTTAGTATATTTCGTCATTCATCCAACTTTTGATTTTTAATGCATTTTGGTGGTGTAAGGTGTTCTCTGTTAATACTTGTCACTTTCTTCTTAAGTTCAAGCTATGTTTCCTAGATAAATTCCTGTATTCTCTCCTTTCTATGCACAGTTCACTCATTGATGTAATCACATACCAAAGCTTTAATATTATGGTCTTTTATCATGCTCGTATCAGCTCTGGTTTCCTTCATTTTCTTAACCAGTTCGTGCATAGTACTGAAATTATACTGCGCTCAAAAACGTCACCACTTTTCTATATGCCGTAGTGTTTACATTGATTCAATATAATTATTACGGTTTATCACTGACGACGGTTGATTCCGTCAACAGGCATAGTCGTACTGCTCATAGTTCTTGCAAATGTTTCTTGTGCATGAAAAAGTACGCCTATGACGGTAGTAGGGTATTTGCCGTTGTGAGCTAATTACAAAATTAAAATGCGCGATATTATTATTAAGAGAAACGCTTTCCAAAATAAACACTTAGGTACTAATAAATAATAATAATTGTAATAACGCACAAACTCAACATTGCCCCGCCTTAGGGAAACCCTGTGTCGCGGGTGCCATAGACACACATATAGACAGGCAACCACAAATTACACCCAAACTCACGAGAGAAATAAATGTAGGCCATACACATAGTTCTCCCGAAAAACCTAAAAAAATACTTTCGGAATTATGGAAGTTCATGCAAACTTTATTTCGGGTAAATGTGTTTTCGGTCTTCTGATTCGTAACCCCGAGTCATAGAAAGAGTACAACAATATTTGAAAGTATTACTAACATGAATTAAAAAATATTTTAATAATAACATTAGCATCAAAGCGACTCTATGAAATTTTTGTTCTAAATATTTCAAACGCTTGTGTTTCAAACAATTGAAATTGACATGATGGGTCTCGTTCAGTCTTTTACGCAAGCAATGCGCCGGAAAGAGACAGTTAGCTATTTGATTATTTTGATTGCTTTTGTAATTTATATTTACGATTAATTTAAATATAAATTAAATACTATATATACTAGTGCATAAAATAACACTTTTAAATGATAACTATGATAACACACTGTAGTACTTACTGAAAATATGATGTACCATCCTGTTTTTTCACTTTAGTTGAGTAATTTTTACAAAGTTTTACCACACAATACGGCATCATTGACAAGCGCGCTGTCAGGCGAACAAACGAAGACGCGTGAAGAAAGAAGAAAGCGTGATTGACGCTCTGTATTCGATTTTAACGCCCTGTAAGTTCGGACACTTTTTAGCGCGGACCCGACGTCCATTTATTTGTAGTCAATGAGTGTAACTAATTTTGTGTATTAAATTATTTTAATTCGTCGAAGAACTAAACTGATTTGTTATAGTTCAACTGTCTTTCGTCTACCATTTTCCTCGCTTTAGTGACGTGGAAAGTTGTGTGTTTTGCTCGGCAGCAAAGTTGTTTTACGTCTCTTGCCTTGAAACGCTGGCTACGCTCAGGATTCAATACAAGCACTTAGTACTTTAGGGTATTATACCCTGTCATATTACACATTTAGTAAATAAATGTGTATAAGTGCTTATACTCGTATTTGGAGCACAAGAACTACTAAATAAAATATAAAATATATACCCTGTTATTTATTCTGAACCCAATTCTTCGGTTGACTAACTAACTTAAAAAAAATATGGCCTTCGTTCAATGAATTATGACGTACATTCGTAGTGCCATCTAGATGAAATGTGAACTTTGTTTCCTATAGAAGAATAATATTGCAAATATAATTTTTCAGGCAGTGGCAGGCGCAACAGAGATTTTACTACAAAAATCATGATCATCTGGCTTGAAGATTTTGAAGATCATCTTAATTTACCTGTCGGTAAGTTCCTCTATTATAAGTTTTGTAATAATGCGTAATAAGATAAGGTGGCCTGTTTGACATCTTTTTAAATTCATGTCCAATAAGATTTACGACAACATTTTCTATCATAGTAACACGTCTGTTATTGGTAAGTGACAGTTACTGGGTGTTTATTATTGGTGCGTGTCGATTACTAGTTAATTAATTAGAGGATTTTTGGTATTCTTTACTGGAGATTTAGAAAAATTGTAGGTTAGGTTTTTTTAGTAATAATTACAAGTTTTTTTATTAACATACTACAGCATGATTTTCCGTGAGGATTATATCTGTCAAGTAAACTGATCACTATTGATCATCATTAAACTTGAGAGTTATACTCTTGTCGGTGAAGCATCTCCCAGTCATCTCTCTTAAAAGCCAGCTCCTTGAGCTCTTTATACGACACGACACCGGCCTTTTCCTTTATTGATATAAGTTTAAATACAAAAAAAATTTAAAGACACACTTCCCTTAAAATGTCGATCATTGGTACCATCACTCTACGTATGTTCGTACATTATGTATAAGATGTTATTAAATGAATAAAAGGCATCGATTGTAAAACAGCTTTTCAAATTGAATTACATGTTTCAGATGACTTATTAGGCTACTGCGAAACCGGCTTACCTTGGCGACGTCACGAGGTGACCATCCTATGCGTAAGCGCACGCCGCAGCGGTCTGTTGCGCCTACACATAGCGCCATCTAGCGTCGCGGGAGTTTTGGCCGATGGAGCACAGATCTCTCCACTATTACTGCCCGCCTGTCTACGCCGCGCTGCTTTGGACATCGCAAGGCGCGGTCGACTCAACACCGACTTGTAAGTACACAGTATCAACGAAGAAGCGTATGATGTAGTCTAGCGTGTAGACTATCCTCCGTCTGATGTCATACAGGTACCCATCCATAGCACGCTACGCTTTACACTTCTAAGTATAATTTTATTCTCATTGCTAGTGGCATACAGTTGACACTATGCACGACAGTCTCATTCTCTGGAAAACACTGCTATCTCTAAGGCTTTTTAAACACGGCGACACAGACAGTGGTATCGCCACGCCTAAGGTTTAATCATAATGTAAATTACATATATAACATTCTTTCTATCACAACAGCCTTTAAATAGAGTATCTTTCTTCGCGTATACTTCTTCTAACACCATTCTACTTCATAGGACTACTATAATTGTCCTAATAGGTCCTTGACCTCGTGTCGATCCTCTGGATCTGAACTAGTGGGATCCTCTGATCCCTACGATGGGCCTCCACACGCACCCCTACCCCTACAGCTCTTCCTCTGCTACCGCTTCATGTCCACTTATAACTTTAGTACAAGTGGCGGGTCTCACTCTAATTCTGTTACCGATTCGTCATACTCTATCTTCAGGCTGTCTAGTCAACAAATAATGTAACTAAGTCAGTAATAAACATTGTGCAAACTTACCAACTGTAGTGCCGACCAACCAGTGCACTCCCAGCAGACGCCTGATATCTCACCTTCAGAATTTGAGATGCCTGGGCTCGCCGTGTTAGTTCCTTACTCTTAGGTATCATAACAGACTAAATTTATTCATGCTTGATATTACAAAACTATAGTCACGGTTGACTCAGTCAACCGTGACCATGGGACCTGTAAAGGGCCCGAAACGTCGGTTTGTTTGAAAAAACAAATATACGCGATTTAAATCCGGAAAAATAGTTTCATTTCCTATGTGTAACAATCGCGAAAACCTAAGAACTCGATATTACAAAACTAATACTAAATCGGGACATAATTCGCGACAAGTGGCTTATAGATACATATATATATATAGCGCGCTATATATATGTAGCGTGGGGGTGCAGAGGAGGCCGTAGTCTCGGGTGGCACGGCAATGTGGGCGGCGGCGAGCGCGGCCGAGCCCCATCTAGTCTAAATTATTATTATTATTTACTTAAAATTAGATAATAAAGGCCACCATTAAGACAAACGACATCCTGAACAACAAAAAGATAGCGACAGCAGGCGAACATAAAAACACAACCGAGCCTTAGGCGAACTACTTTTGTAGTCATGAATATCAATGTTAAGCCACTGGATACAGAGGCTGTGCACATTTGACCTCCATCTCACCTGATGGAAAGTGACGATGAGGTCGACATTGTAGCATGCACACCTAAATAATACCTATTCACTCTCGCCTTGAATAGACCCACGCGTGCTAGTCCCTGTAGACCAGGGTTTGGTTGACTTCCTCTCATACTAGTAATATGTAGGTATATATGTCACAAATTACAGAAAGTGGCAAAATTCCTTAACGACATCTGTGTCCATTAATAGGACGTATTCGGATTGATACATTCACAAAGTGACTTTAATAATTGTATTTGTCTTCAGGTACCAACCCCCGCACGTAAGGAGACGTCATCTTATCCAAGAACTAGCACAGCAATACAAAAGAGATTTGTCAGAACCGGAACTCTTGGAATCTTTATTTCGGACACCATCTTAAACAACAACATGTTGCCTAGATACATCTTCTACACTTTGTAATACATATTAGTGTCGTTAAATACAGTGTGTGAAGCACGCTCCTCGGCCTTAACATTGTCCACTTTATGACTCACATTTTAAATGGCGAGTCGCCCAACACTCGATTTGCCGAACAGATCTAAGTAAATTTGTTCCTATAAAATGTACGAGCTTACAGTGGGGGCGAACTCTGCATCTGTATTTCTTGCCTTCATAGTTAGCTATTACCTTCCAAGGATTGAAATAAAGCTTGTAATGGGGCAATATCGAAATGTTGAATATTTTGACCCCCAAATTACATAAACCAAGTTTAACCATATCGAAGCAAGATTTCTACGGCTGATTTTAAATCCGCCGCCTCTTTTTCAGTTACATATCAACAGATCCCAAGTGGACTACTGATGGAATTTGAATTCCCTAAACTTTTACTTGTACTTACTTGTAAACTCAGACCGAACCAAAACCGGATATACACAATCGTATGTACTGTCAACAGCACATCAAGCTATACACTTTTGTTCGAATATCGCCTCCAGGGCAACGGAACAAGATCCATCAATGTGTAATGTGTAACTTGATGTGCTGCCTTCTGTAAGTTTCGCATCGCCTGCAAACGAGTCACATAAGCGGGTACACATTCGCATTTATTATATTCAACGTCAATTTGTAACACAGGACGACGACCGCCTTGTGGCTAAGTCTTTTTTTTACTGACGCTAGAAAACCGTAAAGGACGCAAACCCGGTAGGGACGAGGTGAACAACGAATCGGTTTTGTTCACATTAGAGTTTTAAGTTTATTGTACTAGCTCAAAGCTTACTTATTAATCATAAGAAATGTTTATTTTGTTAGCAGAAGATATTAATAAGATTGACACAATAATATAAATTACATTAAAGTATTATTTGAAATGTTAAATTAAATTATATTTTTTAACAATAAGACTGTTGTAGATTAATAACGATTTAACTTTTATATATAATGTTGACATTGCGGTCACGGGCCTATTTTCATACAAGTTTTTTTCATGAATTCATTCTTTTGTTACTATCTTGGTCATCTGGCGAATGAATTAATAGGATTTATCAGACCACATATTTAATAAAAATTGTAACGTTTATAGGCTTCATCCAAAAAATTTTTGTGCAAATCAAGCTCGTGACATACCTTTACTCTACCATACTTGCCCCCGTAGCATGGCTACGCATAATAGTCGCGACGGGCGCGATAAAATTGAAATAAGCGCGCGCTATTGGCTATCTAAATTACATCTGATTGAGACAGCCAATAACGCGCGCTTATTTCGATCTTATTATTTTTCGTCGCGACTATCATGCGTAGCCATGCTACGGGGGCTGAAATATTTAAAGCAGTTCCGAATATTAATTTGCACAATATTTACTTAAAAGTTATTGTTGTTTGTCATAAATATTTAATACGTCAATGTTGCATATGAAATACCTTATTATTTTTTATTAAATGTATGCTTCATATAATATTTGTATTTATCTACCTAACTTCCCAGTAACTACACGGGGTGAGATAATAATAAAATTGTGAGTTAATACTGACAAAGACCTACAAATGCATATGTGTGTGGGTGTCCTTATTATTATATATATACCTTATTCCATGGTGACCATACTGTCGTAAAAACATACAAAACTTGATTCTATGTTTTTACGAGTAGAACCGACTAAATCACATATTTTTTTTGGTACAATCTAATCAAAGTGGTTCTCGAAAATGAGGAATCGAGCTCCCCGAGCGTGGACAATACAACTCCCTTATGATTGAATGCACTAAATATAAGTCGTGATGTAAAAGTCGGTTCCAGTCGTAAAGCATGCAAAACTCGAGCATGATCGTGCTGGAATAAGGCTCATTTTATATTGCGGCGGAACGGAATGGAAGCGAATTTTTGTAATGATATTGTATATAGCGTAATTAACTTTATGGTCAATTTATTTATTATTTATTTACGTTATTAATTGTGTAACGTACTAACTAGATACGAGCCAAAAATCAAGTCGTGCGTCTTCCGCGGAATTCTCGCGCATTCGCGAGAATCCGCAGCTGCCGTCGACGCGTGGCGAATACACGGGAAGTGGCGTGAAGGCAGGCACAGTGTGACGTTAAGCGTCGACAAAATACTACAACCTTAAGGCGAAGTTACGAGAAACCTCACGAATGCAGCGAACGATATCACTTGAGAGCTATTAGAAATAACGTGTCAGATTCACACATACACGAAAACATACCACACAACACGCTCGTGGGCAACCGCATAACCAACTAGACCAAAGCTAATTTGAAACTTGATTTCCATCATTAGTTATATTGGAAATAAAACCCATGACTTCAATATTCAAGCACCGAGACAAATGTTAAATAAAAATACGTACTGTTGGCAACTATCCGGGTCCGCTTGAAGATGATCAAAGGCCTCGGCCTCCGCCACACCCCCAATTTTCCGCGTTTGAACTCAATAATAGTGTTTATCCCTAAAGACAAACGCCAAAAAACCCAATAATAAAGCAATTTTTTTAATGTTTGAGTGAGTGACCCTTACATGCAACCAGCTGGTTCTGTAGTAGCATGAAAAAATCTGTGCAATGATTTACAATATGACGTCGAGCCTATAATAAATTGAACGTATTTTGTTATTAATTATGTGGTATTATTAAAGTGACTATGAATATTTTGGTTTAAATATCTCAAAAAACCTATTTTCACTTGGGTACATATTTTCGTGGTGATAGTTTTACGAAATGGTTAAATTTTTTAAACATTAGAAAGACACTTTGATCATAATCATTTTGATGCACAAAGTATAATAAAACATGTACTTACAACTGTACGACTTACGGCATCATAATACGAAAGACAAAAAAGTACAATCTTATGAACTTAAAATGAAATATTAGACCGGATCTCTTTAAAATCTTCTCGTTGTTCTGATTAAATTTTATTCACTGGGTTATCCAGTAGCCATAAAATTTGCGCTTGTGCGCTTATGGACGCCATGGCAGCCACAGACGTTTCACTAAAATTACGATCACAATATGGAAATACACATTCATCCCACTCTAGTGTTTGGACCCCACTTGTTAGCACGGCGCATAAATTTCCATACAATACATATTTTCGAAATCGTCACCACGCTTGTTGCTGAAGCGTGCTGTTGATACCCTCTATAATTCACAGACGCGGTGCTGCTAAGTGAAATCCAACCCTAAATTTTCATCTAGAAGCAAAAATCGTTCTAACAACATGACACAATTAAGAGACAAGTCATAATGCAAAGATGTCTGTGTTGAGTCTTTATCAGAATCTTTCTTCGTATTTTGTATCTTATAAAAATCGATGGTCGATCAACTCTCACATGTTAGAACATATAATTTAAAAAACATCCTGCTTGTTTTAGATGACTAAATCCTGATCCGATATTAGACCTAATATAAAAAAAAAGATTTCTTTCTTTCTATCAATAAGTAATTAAAATTATTTATTAAAATTTCCACCTTGACAATACATTTCACAGGGTAATTAAAGTAAAGAACATCGTACAGTGAAATTGCGAGGTGGAGGACTGGTGCCTAGACTAGGTTAATAAATAAGTAAGTTGATTTAAGTATATATTTATCTTAGGGATGGATAAAAATAAAGGAAATATCTTTTACATTTCCTTTATTTTTTTCCGTTCTCATAAGATTTACATTAGTACGTACTAGTCCATCCTCTAAGGTACTAATACTAGTTTTGAAAAATGAATTTGGCCCTTAGAGGATGGAAAAAAAAGGAATTTGACCAATCAAAGCGCTAATTTTACCAGGACAGTTTTCAAATTACAATGCTCTGTTGAATCTGTTACATTGACAAACGTTCATACATTCCATTTTCAAATCAACTTGCAAATTCTATTCATATTTTCGAAAATGTTGACTTGAAAATTTACAATATACGAGTTTTGTCATTGGTGTTTTTATTGTTTTATTACTGTATTCACCTTTGTGATATTGGTGTTTGTTAAGACGTTGCAGTTGGAAGATTTTCTGTCGATTAAATCTATGTTGTAGCAGGAATGTTGATTAGTAGAGTGGAGGAAGAGGAAGGGCTTGTAAATGGGCAAGAAGCAACTGAAAATAGCGTCGACGACTCACACGATTACCAGACTGCGAGCGAGTTATTTGACCTAATGGCAAAGAAATACAACTACCAGAGCCATGGTAAGCGCCTGTCACTTCCTATATAGTTAATATAATTTACCGGTAAACAGCAACCCTCCCTTCCATAGAAAACAAAGCTTGTTAGTAATCCATGCTACAAAAATTACATAATTCTAACTCGAATGGACACGTCAAAATGTGTACCTACATAAATTCCTTTATATAAAACAACAAATATCACTTGAGCATTGGTTTATCTTCTTTACAGAAACAGAATCCCTTACCGCTCGGGACCTCATTTTATTATATAAAAACATAGACTTAGGAACTAAACTAATGTCTAGTGCTAACGAAATTAAAAGAAATGTGCCCAACCAATACGTTGAAACCGTTGTGTACCGCGAAGACTCTGAATCGGACCTCAGCGAAATTTGCAGTAACGAAGATTTGCACAACGTAGTTTTAATTAACAAAGAACGGTTAGATTTATTGCAAAACAGCTCGTCAACATTCGGTAATACCCTATGTCATAAGTTTGGCAATCTAGAAATTCATTCATCCAACTTAGCCAAGCAGTATGAAAGGACTTTTATCATGAAGGATTCATTTAACAATTTACAAGGTTTAAATCTAATGTCTTCATCGAAAGGTTTGGATAGCATGGTACTTCCCGGTTCGATATTTGATTATATAAGTTGTAAGCGGTTAGAAGATAATAGCTATAGCTTTTATATGGACAGCGTTATTAGATATGTGAACAACACTATAGATCACCTAAAACGAATCAGTAACGGGGAGTACTTAACCGATAAAGCAAAGAAAAAATGGAAGGAAGTTGATCGAGTTATAAAAGACAGCGAAAGTAACAAAAGCATTGTCCTTTCTAGCTCTGTAAGTATTCCTTTGCACGTCGAACCAAAACTAATTAAAAATATTAGTACCTGGGAAGACATAGCACATTCAGAAGTCAATCTCAAGTCACTCTCTAAAATATTGGAAAAGAAGATCGTGGTTGAATTTCCTAACACTATTTGTGGCTCCTTTAAACTGTTTAATAAATGTTTCGACAATTTGGTGACAAGACCTAAGAAAAAGCAGCAGGCAGTATTGTACCACAATGATGAGGAACGAGAATCCAGAGTAAATGTAGTACTGCAATTGAAACATTCCAAATCTGGACAAGTGACGAATACTATCAGTTCAGTAATGATTTTGCACAAAAATATGGATAACGGTAAATAGCAGTTTCTGCTGACTTGGCCTTCCTTTGTAATATTGGGTGAAGGGAGGGTTGACTTTGTATTATTTTTACTTTTGTTGAAATTTTATTCTTACATCGCTTTGTATCCTCTCATCACCTTGCAGATGCAATGCAAAGCCAAGTCTGCGTTTGAATAAAACTAGTCAGCATATATGACCAAAAACCCATGATTAATTAATATAATTTATGTGGTATGGTTGGGCATATATCATTCACAAATAGGAAATTAGTTTGTTAAAAATGATAATTGATGCCACCACAGCTTGCGCGAAGTGGTAACGTTCTAGTTAATGCGTGACGAATGCGCTCTTAATGCGTGAAATCGCAATCAACGCGTGAAGTTGATTGCGACTTCACGCATTAACTGCAAACATAGGTACAGAAGGCTGCTAACTGAGTACGGTCGTAGACGGAATTGTCCAATATGTTGGAAGTGACGGACAGATCAAAAACTAGTTTCTAGAAAATGTATTACCTACCTTTAAACTGCAGAGGCCTGAGCACCGACTGTGCCAGTTTACGGTATTTAATCGGATAAAAATATACATACTTTATAGTTGATACTGAAAATAAGTATAACTAGTAATACATTTTATGTAACAATATTAAATGTAATTTTATGGCCATTTTATTTCCTCATCTAGAAACTTCGTGCAGACTGCATGATCTTACTACAGCTTACTTAGTAGCAGTAGAGTTCCTTGGGAAAGAGTATGTCCAGGGCAGTATCTTATTTATTTATGCCGCCAAGCGGTAATGTCAGCATTACTGCGTCCCAGTTTTGAAGTGTAAGAGTGTTGGTGAAACTACAGGCACATGGGACTTATCAACTTACATCTCAGTGTAACGGGCGTAGTGATAGGGCCCCTTACATGGTTGCGGTTTAAAGCTCTGAGTGGCACAGCAAATGGTATGGGCTGGCGTGTCGCTGACCTCCAGGCGCACGACTTGTTCATCCCATCACTCGGTATCATAAAAACACAGCTACTTGTCTATAACCTGTTGCTGTTCCATGAATGCATACCTCTTTGTCCATCGGCAACTAGCTCTCTTTTACATCAATTCTCTTCGACATTACTTCAAAATTCCCGCTGCCTTGTTTTACTAAAATCATTTCTTTCAAGATACGAGCCCGTCGTATGTCGGAAGTGTCCTTGAAAGTCGGTTGAGTGGCAAAAGATCTGATGTATCATATACACTTACTTGAAGAATCGGAAGTGCCAGGAAGTGAAAAAAATGCCGAAAATCGTGCCTCTTTCGGTCTCTCAATTTCCTAACATAGGGTGTCAACACTTATTGAGCTATCTGCTTGAGCCAGTCAGATAAATGCTTTATATACGTACAATAAGAGCGAAAAAGACGTTGCGCGTTTCCCTTCCGTTCGAACTACCGACGCGAAACGCACAACGTCATTGTAAAGTTTTTCCTGACTGGTTTAGTCCCCTTCCGTATCGATAAATGTGGTGACTCCTATGTCCAGCACTTTCGGCCCTGCCGATACGTACCACAAACTAAGAAATGTTCATCAAAACACTTCACAACGCTTGTGGTCTTGCCGCTTTGAACATGCAGTGGCGACATTTGTGAATGTTTAAAAATCTGTTTTATAAAACCAAAATTTAATCGACGTTGGGTATTCTTCGGTCATTCAACTTAGTGTTCAGAATATTGTTGTAATAACAATTTACATAATAATTTAAAAAATCTTTGTTTTTATTTCATTTTATTCTCCAGATTGCACTTCGAAAGTTTTACCATTACCATACGAGGACTGTAATACAGAAAATATAATAATTGACAATCAAGAACCAAAAATATGCAAAATCGAGGAAAATCTAATTCGGAATATAGAAGCATCTAACGATTGTAATGAAAATGGAACCTTGCTTGGAGACGAAAACACTGATGAGAATAGAAAGAACTTAGACGATACAGTGACTTTATCCTCTATTGATCACAGTGTTGACGGGAGCAGTGAAATAGAGTATACCACAGGCTATGGGTCGTCACCGACAGAACATTTGTCTACCTATCCAGGATCGAGCGAATCTAGTTTGTTAGGCACCGGTTATAAGCGGCATAATCGGTTTAAAGTGGCATCTTTCAAAGCATCATCAGATGATTATTTAAAGCTAACCATTCAGAGATTGAGCACACAAGGCTGTCTACCCGAAGAGTCCCTAGAAGAACTCGCATGTGGATTTAATAAGAAAAATACACCGACCAGAAACCGTTTGAAATCTCCATACGAGAACAAATCTCACGCAATAGAAGAAAGAAAAAGAAAGAAACTGTTGGAAATAAGACAAAGACGTGAAAAGAAAAAGATGGCCATGATTGAAACCTACAAGGCATCTAAAAACAAACACGGCAGGGAATTTATATCTCAGCCTTCGAATTCCGTTACTAAATTGTCAATAACCAACAAATCATTCTACAATTCTATATACGGTCAATCGCCCAATGATAGGCAACTGAAGATAAAGAATCGTAAACAGAAGAAAGACTTTTCTTTTGAAGAAGCTTCCGACATTGAAAAGGAAAACGCAGATGACATTACTACGCCAGACTTAAATTGTCAAAAATATATAAACAAAAATTACTTTTTAGACGATACAGTTACAGAAATGATGTATATAGAAATGAATCAAAAAGAACCGGACCGGCAAGAACCTAAGTCAGAATCTTTATTATTGAATGATTTTAACTCAAAATTAGATATACTGAGTCAATTAATTACACCTTCTATTACTGATTTGGGTGTGCCGGATACGGTATCAAACATTCCATTCGAAGATTACTCAAGGTATGTATATATTGCGACTACAACTGCAAGTCATATTTTTACATTACACCAAACGGTAAACAAGTTGCAAATAAATTATCTGGACACTACTGTACGGCACTACGGTATTTTTTTTTTCATTAAAAAGAATGTAAAGGTCCTCACTGAAGTTTCATATATGGATAGATCAATTATTAATTGCATATTTACAAACCCAACAACAAAACCCTTCAATTTGCCAACTTCAACTTCCAAGTTGCACTTTATAGACACTATTTAAAGTACATAAATGTGAACAGTTTCCCGGCCCAGCAAATGGTAAGAATCTTAGCATGCTTAGCAATTTAGTACATATGTTTAAAAATATTGTTACAGATTCGAAGTACATGACGTAACGGAAGCAAATAATAAACAAGAAATCAATACGACTAGTTATTTACAGACAGTTGTTAACGAAGCTTCCGAAAAGGCAACTAAAAGCATTAAATTTCAATTTGAAACAGAGCAATCCAAGAAAAACCGGTCCTCAATAGAATTCAGAAAAAGTATTGATAAAATATATGAACTAATGAACAAACTAGGAAAAATGCCTGACAATAAACTTTGTAAAAGTAAATTCACTGCAGTCCAAACTGGCAGAGATTATATCACAAGACATTCGAGTCCCACTGCTGAAAGTTGTTCTAACATAAAAGACCAAACGTCCACGATTCCAAGTAATTTGAGCAAGGAAAAAATTGAGAACCCAGAAAAAACTCTTAACCAGGACCTAGGTAAATTGAAGACCTCTCAAAAAATTCAATCACCACCCATTGTCGTACCAAAGATAGTCATAAATTCGAAATCACAAGCCCCTAAAGGAGACGGGGAAAAAACTAAAAAAGATCGTAAGAAAATAAATCCAAGTAAAGCTGCGCCGGAACATCCTTTGAAAGCTATATCTCAAATACTACATGAAATCGATAATGCTCAAAAAAACAGGTATAAACCAGGCACAATTGATAATAAACCCAAGAAGGCTGAGGTTGTTTCTGCAGAAGGTAAATTGGCAACTCGCCAAAGCTCTTTGAAGAAATCATTTGCAGATAATAAAACAAGTTCAGCAGCAAGAGAAAAATGGACCAAATCTAGTGATCCGAAATTGTATCATCAGCAACCTCCGACCGATGATAAACACATGAATCGTTCTATAAAGAAACAAGTGGCTGATTTGATGGATGAATTTAAAGAAGCAAGAGGTGAAGCTATACGCGGACCAAAACCAAGTGCCCGATTAAATTCTCTCGCACAACCGAAAAGAACATATGTACAAGCACAAATTGAAGAGTTTCAGGCCAGACATGGAAAAACCATTATGTCGGATAGGCTCCTAAGGTTTACTGGATCGCCATCATTAGATACTTCCACTAAAAGCAGATTCCGAAGGGTAGATGCAACAGGATCGGCTAAGTATTCCTCTGTTTTGCCCGCGCCGCCACCTACAGGTGCGTAAAGGTGAATTTTATTTGAGAAAATTTTTTAATATCTTCTACTCAGCAGAATAAAAACATTTTAGGAAGACTTCTTGCGTTACAGAAAGAACATCTAAATCAAAAGCCTCTAGTAGCAGTCGTGAAATAAGAACACCGCAGTCTTCAAATGAAAAGTCCTTGAGACAACATAACGTGTCTGGTACCTTGTAAGACTTCAAATTTATATTCGTATTTAGTGGTCCGCTCATCACGCCTTCACCGATATGTTACTCAACCCAATTTGCAGAACCAAAAAAATGGTGGCAGTAGAATCTTACCTGAAAAATCATTACGGGCATCCTACGCCTCTAGTGGACAACAAAGAACTCCTGCGAAACGGACAAAAGACGAGTGCATCTCGTGTACCTACTGACTTCAAATTGTGTAAGATTATTCCAAATAAACCAATAACTTAAAAAAGACCGTGTTTACATAGTACTTCAAGATACAAAAGATTTTATAATTTTTACTCTTAAATACACTTTCGTAAAATAGGCCTTGTATTCTTTCAGCGGCTATACCTTCACTTCTAGAAGAAAACTGCTTCCTGTTAGATGGCAACAAGTTCCATACGATCGATAACTTGACTCCATGTCCAACTGGTTTAGGCGTAGTAACAGAATGCAATGAAACTACATACGAGCAGAATAGGGACAACAATGACGAATCAGATATAACTAATGATGGATATCTACAAAACAACCTTGAAACAACAGTTTCGCGCCAACATATCCCTAATTTTGAGAATACTTCGAAACATGATTTACATTCTCCACCCGTATATGCGATTGAAAAACAATTAAAAATCGGAAACTTTCCTATGCCGCCTAAAGATCAGATGCAAAAAATATATGAACTAATATTACAGTCTAATAGCCCTCAATCGTGTAGCGATTTAGAGTACATAGTAACAAATACTGTTAATAGTCCCATTTCACAAAGTTCACATGTGATCAAATCAAAATCTGATGTATTTAAAGACATGACAACATTAGCTAGCTTAACTAAGATCGATTTTGGGTTTCCAACGTTTTCGATGCCAATTACAACTATCGGGTATTGTTTCCCTCAATACCGTTCAATACCAAGTACCTCCAGCGCGTCTGCTATACCTGCTATTACTTCCAACACCAATAATTGTGGTATTTCGCGCAATGGACTATTTAAATCTGATAAAACTTGCCAATGTTTTAAGGGGAAGATCGAAGCAGTGGTTGAACATGCAGTGCAAACTGAATATAAAACGATTGCACGTAATTCAACAGTTAATGCTGCTTCATACACGTCCCCGCAATCAAAGGGACATGACGTATTGCAATGCCTGCCAAAAACTGAAATATTTGAACTGAAAAGCGATACTGCAGCAGGTGAAATTAAAGAAAATTTGAAAGTAGCAAATGTATCAATAAAAACTGAAAAGGGGTGCGTCAAAAATAATAATTCTGTGGACACCTTATCTACGTCGCCCAGCAATAAAATGCGCGATATTGAATATACTACCTCCTTGGATATTCTAGTGGGCCTACTTAATGAAATACAGAAAATAACCACATGTCAAACTCAAATAACAAAGCCTACACATAGGTCCAATACCAATGTGGATCTCATCGAATTTGAAAATGTTTTAAAAAATTCTTCAACGGTTTTAAAGGCACCAAACAAGTCCGTTCAGAAAAAAATATCAATAACTGCCATTGAGAAATTGCGACAGTTAGACTCCAAGGGCAGCTTGTGTTCGTTCTACTTAACTAACAACTCTGATGTAGATTTGATGGACAAGCTTCGTCTCAAAGATAACATTGCCAAGCCATTAAGCGTTGATAGAGAAGTGACAGTGGAACTGCTCCCGCGGAAAGAATTAATAAATACGTGCACAGAAGTACCGTCACGATTTCTCCCAAATAGCGTGAACCATGCCACTGATATTTCTCACTCATTAATCGGTATCATAAGTGAGCCGTCTACTCCATCCATGCTTACATACGGTGAACACATTTTACATTCAAGTGCGTCTTTAACATCGTTAAAAAAAATAATCGAATTAAAACAAAACGTAAAAAACAAAGTTCAAATAAGTAAAGCAACCCGAAGGATTTCAAAAAAGTCTATGGAGAATTCTAATTATGCTAGCACCGGTGGAAGTGAAAATCAAACGTCAGCAATTTGTACGACAAAAAAAATTACTCCCAACTCTCCTCATTATCAAACAGTTCAAACAGAATTTGACCCCATCATGAAGATGAAAAGAGATTTATTAGTGACCATGTATTCTGTTCTAGTGTTTACAGTCTTTGCTGCCCTGTCGTTCCCAGAAATGTTATACCGATCTTGAGTATGTTAGAAACTTAAAAATTTTTGTATCATTTATCTCATCTATTTATACATTTTATTATTATTTAATAAAGTTTTGAAAAAATAATTGATTATTAATATTATAGGAGAATGGTGAGTGGAAAAAATCAATGGAACATAAAGGGAAATCAGATTTGAGAAATCACTTATAAGCATTGACACATATAATAATGACTATGGCACAGCACATATCTGCCTTCAGAACGAAAAAAGACACAACTGCTGTATAGAGTACGCATAGTTGTGCCTTTTTTCGTTACGAGCGAGGGCAGAAATAATGACAACCAACGGTATCTATGTATGTACTAGATGCGGCGTTCCATGCACACCTATATCTTTCTAATTTGTAATGCACACGCCATCTTTCAGTGCTGTGCGGTGCGGTTCAGATGCTACACATCAGTGAGCATAACGCCGGGTTCACGAGTCTTTCACTTGCGTTTTTCGCTTGCTTACGTTGGCTGTGTATACGGCGGCGACGGCGTAAAAATCTGCCTTCCGCGCAATATCTTTCTAATTTATGATGGCGTTCACGAGTCTTCCGCTTTGCGTTACGGATAGACTTGCGCGCATGCGTTTTGCGAGTTGGGGAATTAATGTAAATCCCCTGGCAAAGTCGCTATTAGTTGCACACTACATTTCATTTTGCTTTGATCCAGGGGCCTTCCGCTTACTATTTGTAATTATTATATTACTAAAAAGAGAAACCAAGTTAAGTAAAAGAAAAAAAAAACAGTCGAGTTGTTGAAATTTATTGATGTTATCTTCCTACTATATCTTTCTAATTTGTGGTTATGCTAACTTTTCCTTGCGGAAAGGCAAAGGGTGATCCTAAGGGGTAATGTTTAGACAAGGTTTAGACCATACAGCCTAATCAAGTTATAGACATAGGTATCGTTGAGCTAGTCGTTATATGTATAAAAAAATATATGCTAACCTTAATAACTGTTATAATCATATTCTTAGAATAATAACGCATAGAATGATAGTTTCATATCAAACGAACTGTCACAAGTGAGGCAAAAACCAAATTCATGTAGGCGTAAGCAACTTGTAACTACGCTCGTCGGCACGCACACAAATATACAAATAATGATGCCATGGAATAACATTTCCCTCAAAAGTGGGGAAATTGTATCTTGCTTAACTCATCATTAAGTTAAAGGTGCCTACAGATTTGCCCGACATTGTCGATCAGGTGCCTACAGATGTGCTCGATTTTGTCGATCGACAATGTCGATCAGGTGCCTACAGATATGCTCGGTTTTGTCGATGAAAAACGAATATAGCACTTATTTGTAAATCCAAGATGGCGGACACGATTTTTCAAAATATGCTATATGGGTATCCTTTTCGAGGTATTTGGGGATGCTCATTACGAATATGACACTCATTTCTAAATCCAAGATGGCGGACACGATTTTCCAAAATATGCTATATGGGTATCCTTTTCGAGGTATTTGGGGATGCTCGTTACGAATATGGCACTCATTTCTAAATCCAAGATGGCGGGCACGATTTTTTCAAAAAAATGCTATGTGGGTATCATTTTCGAGGTATTTGGGGATGCTCAATGTGAATATGGCACTATTTGTAAATCCAAGATGGCGGGCTCGATTTTTCAAATAATGGCAAGTTGGGTATCGTTTTCGAGGTATTTGAGGGTGCTCATTACGAATATTGCTTTTGTTTGAACTGTCGTGTTTGCCATCTTGGATTTAGAAATGAGTGCCATATTTGTATTGAACATTCCCAAACATCTCGAAAACGATACCCAACTTGCCATTATTCGAAAAATCGCGCCCGCCATCTTGGATTTAGAAATAAGTGCCATATTCGAAACCTAAAGCCGAAAATGCCATAAGCAAACATTAAAGAAAATAACTGTTAAAATAGATTAAAAAATCGCTTAAGAATGCTCCCCTTTTAAGAAAATAAAATATTTTAATATAAAATATTTCGCTTGAGTTACGAAAAGAAAGACATATAATAAGCTATCAAAGTTGTACTGGTGGTGCCAACAAAATAGTAGAAACAAATATATAAGTACTGTAAATTTGTTGCAATATGTGCTCCAATTCAAATAAAATTAAAATAAATAATTATTCAATAAAGCATGAACGCAGAGCCGTTAAAAGTATTATAAAATAATTAAGTGTCCCAATCACTTTCATCACAAGTTAACGAAAACATTTAATGTTTATTCAAGTAAATATTATTGTTCAAGATGCGCAAATAAATCGAAATTACAGGCACCACTAAAATTTACGTAATATAATTATTTTGAAACAGAATAGCAAAATGGGGAGAAAAAAAATTCGTTACTTTGCAACACTTTCGTATCTTGTTGCCGCGAAATTATTTTTCTGTTTTAGTGAATATTTACATAAAAATATGAGTTGAAACGCATTACTTACTTGTGGAATGCGATGTTAGTGTCTATTTT